CACTATTTCCAGCAGCTGCATCTGCACGTCAGTTCCGCAATAGAGCGGCTACACGCAGGAGGGACATCGCAGATCATCGCGAAACTCTTCCCCAACCTCCCAGCCTGAAGGTTTCGGAAACCTAGCTGCAGGCAAGCCCTCTCAAGATGATTCCCACGCTCGCGCGCTTCTCGCGGACGACGTACCGCGGCGCCCTCAGCTCTGGGTCGGGCTCATCGTCCAAGATGGCAGCGTGCTCCTCGCCCAAGTCGCGCAGTACGCTGCGACAGGACATCGCGTCCGAGCAAGTATTCAAGCGCTCGTAGATGGGCCTCTACCACCTGGATCAGCTGCAGAACGGGCACAACGTGCCCAAGAGCCTGCAAAAGACGGCGCGGACCTTGGAGCCAAACGTGCAGCGTAAGCGCATCGAGTCGTGTATTCTCGGCAGGGTCATCCAGATGAAGATCACGACCAAGGCGATGCGCTGCATCAACAAGGCCATCGGGCTGGGCAAGTACGTTCGCTGCATGGGCGACAACGCGATCGGCGTCTTTGGCAGGAAGCCCCCCAGCGAGATGGCGTCCGTCGCCAGTTTGCGGCTGCAGAGGAGCAGCTCGGCCTCGTCCAAACGTTCGAGCTGGAGCGCCTCGCACAGGAAAAGACGCAGAAGGCTGCCGCAGTGTCGTGCAAGAAGAGCAGGCCTTCACGCAGCGCGAGGGTCTCGTCGACGGCGGTGCAACCGGCAAGCGCGCAGGCGGCAGCTGCAGCGCCCGCATCACCAGTATCAGAGACAGGAGCCACATGAGTATTATCAACATCGCGGCCGCAGGACCGGCAGCGTGAGCGGTTCAAGAACGCCCTCCTAGGCCGTTTCGAACACATGCTTGCCTTTGGGAGGCACCTCTACTTTGTTCAATCTCCGAGCACTTGTACAGTATGCATCACATCGCAACAGCTCTCATCATGCATTGAGCAACCCATCGACACGTGAAGCGACAGCTTGAGACTGAGGAATTTGAAAATGGAAAAAGAAAGAGGTAGGAGGAAGACGAACAGTATGGCTGGTCGTAGCGCTGCAGCAGACCACCAAGTTGCGGTAGCATACCATACCGTAGCACATCCCCTCCGGCCCTTGACATCTTGATCTAATCCCACTCGCAAGCGTCCAAGGCTATTGAAGGCAACTATCCAAGATGTCTGGCGATGCGCACCCAATCGACGAAAAGGGCTGGCAAAATGCATATTTTGCGCCTCAAGACCGCAGCGCCCAGCCATTGTAGCAGGTCAGCGCAGAAGAGCTGGGTGAGCTGATGAACCAAGGGAGTGAAACGATCAAGCTCGACGGCTACGATTCAAAGAGAGTGTCGAGCTTTGTGGTGGTCGATGCGCGGCGCGCAGATTGCGAGGTGAGGACAAAGCCGACGCGGCCTTCGTCCGTACTGGTATCTGGCATATGTGCCATCGTGTGGTTGCAGAGCATGATTCCGGGAGCAATCAACCTTCCTGCCCACTCATTCGCGCTCTCCAGCTGCACGCTCGTGCGCGTGCTGCACCAGGTACCGCTCATGAGCTTCCACTGCAACAGCTGCGCGTCGCCCATGTCTCACGGCCCGCTCGTCGCCAGCTGGTACGCGGACACGCTGGCCAAAGCGGTCCTACAGGGCGCCGAAAAGGCGACGGTGTACGAATGTGTGGCCGTGCTCGTCGGAGGCATGAAGGGCTGGGAGGAGCTCCACGGGAAAAGAGCCGTCTCTGAGGGAGGAAAAGTCATCAAGGACCTACCGGTCGAGAGGGACGACGGCATGTTGGATCTAAGATCGATTCCTTTGTAAAGAGCATACTCGCTCCTCCAGCACTAGAAGCCTAGCGGACCGACATAGGCAACAAGACGTCTGCATGACTTAGCCTCCTTTGCGAGTCGATCGGCGATCGGCCACAAGGGCGCAACGGCAGCGAGGTTGTCCATAGCAGCTGAGAGGTTGGAGAGCGTCGCTGCTCGGAGTCGCTTTTGAGGACGTCCATAATAGCGTCTGCGCACTGTGACATCGCAAGGAATTTCAATTGCATCTACAGAAGGCCGCGAAGAGGCCTCGTCCGTGCCACGCACCTTTTCGATCGCCCGTATGGCTCCAGACGTCAGAGCGTCAATATCGTCTCGCGACTGCTGGGGCCGTACACTAAAGGAGCACGAGTTGAGATCGGTGTCGAAGGTCGGTAAAAACGTCAATCAATGCAGGTGGATGCACGCACAGAGGGCGCAGGCTGGCATCAGCGCGGGGTTATTCGGGAATGCAAGCGACTCACGCTGCAGCATGATGAAAGCCATCGTACTGGCTTCAACCTGGTCAGGCAATGATGACATGCGCCAATGATGATGTGCCGAGATTGACAGATTTCCGATCATCACTTCGAGCGCATTGAAGCGTGCCAGGATCGTAGGCGAGTCTTGAGGCGCCGGCAGCACCCTCTCCGCAAGCAGCGCCGTTGCTTGCAGGCGCAACTTTGACTAATCGCAGTGGTGGGCGTGAGTACGATTGAGAGGGTATAATGAAAGGCGGCCAAGTTCCTCCATAAATACCGTCTCATCCAGCCCCTCGGACCGCACTTGTGCAGATGCCACGGACGTGAGTAGCGTCTGATCGACGCGACCGCCGGTCGCAACTGCAAAGACCGTATCCACGAAGCACAGCTGGGT